GCCAGAAGCTCCCTCCTGGTGACACAGTAATTTCGCTCAGGTGCTGACAGTACCTTACTGAAGTATCCGATCACATGTTCTTCTCCATCCTGAAGTTGAGAAAGGACTCCTCCAATGGCGGTATTGCTGGCATCCGTGTCTAGTACGAATCTTCCGTCTGGTCGTGGGTAGCTCAATATGGGTGCGCTGCATAATTTGGCCTTCAGCTCTTCAAATGATTTCTCGCAGTCGTTGTCCCAAACAAAGGTTCTCTTATCTTCCGTCAATTTAGTTAGTGGTTTGGCAATATTAGCAAATCCTTTTACAAATCTTCTGTAGTAAGCGAACAGCCCAAGGAAACTCCTAACTTGGTGTTTATCCTGAGGTATTGGCCAATCAGTGATAGCTCTGATCTTCTCCGGATCCACAGATACTCCTTTATCTGACACAACATGGCCGAGGTAATTAACCTGTTTGCGGAACAAGTTGCACTTCTTGGGGTTCAACTTGAGATTAGCCATCCGCAGTCGCATGAAGACATTCTCCAGGTTCTTCAGGTGGTCTTCGAAGGATTTGCCTAGGACGATAATGTCATCCAAGTATACCAGGCATGTTTCCCATGACAATCCCCTGAGGACGTTCTCCATGAGCCTTTCAAAAGTAGCAGGGGCATTGCAAAGTCCAAAAGGCAGCACAGTGAATTGCCAAAGTCCTGTCCCAATAGAGAACGCTGTCTTCTCCTTGTCCTCAGGAGCGAGCCCGACCTGCCAGTAGCCACTTCTGAGGTCTAAGGTTGAGAATATCTGACATCCTCCCAGAGTGTCGAGTGTGTGTTAAAATCCTGGGTAGAGGGTAGCTGTCTTTCTTGGTGACATTGTTGAGAAGGCGGTAGTCTACGCAAAATCTTGTTGAGCCGTCTTTCTTTTTCACTAGTACCACAGGTGACACCCAAGGGCTGCTAGAAGGCTCGATGACACCATCCGCTTCCATCTCCTTTATGATTCTCTCGGCTTCGTCACGTTTTGCCAGTGGGAGTCGTCTAGGGGCCTGACGTATGGGTTTTGCATCTCCGGTGTCTATCTTGTGTTGTACTATATTCGTCCTTCCTCTAGGGCCACTTCCGTACTCAAAGACATCTTGCCATCTAGTAATAAAGTCCTTTATTTTTGCACTTTGTTGATGCGTCAGCTCCTGACAGGTGCTCTCCACGAAATCTTCTAGCTCCTTTGGTAATCCATTTGGAGATGGCGGGCATGATTTTAGTTGACGTACCACCGAATTAACAGCCACGCACGTTCCGATCGTTACTCCTCTTTTTATCGTAACAGGAAAACCATTCAAGTTCATCAGTTGCACCGGATTTTCATGTCCTAAGTTAAATAAGGATCTGGCGACAAAGACACCACGTCCAAGCTGGGATTCACTGTCACTTGCTGGCTCCAGCAGAACACTTTGCCCACTAGTCCAATCTCCTTCGACTGTGGCTTGAACGATGACCTGGCTGCGCGCTGGTAGCGTTGTGTCTTCCAGTAGAAGTACGCGTGCAGAGATATCTTTTCCACGCCGAAGTATGACATCTTCGTCTCCGAGAGTCACTAGTCCTCTTGACATGTCCAACTTCAGTCCGTACTTCACCATTATATCGGTTCCCAAAATCACGTCCTCGTCTATGTCAGCAACAAGTGCGCAGTGTTGAAACACGCAGCCGCCGATGTGGAAGGTAGCAACCGTCTGCCCATAGACCTGAGCTAGCTGACCTGTAGCTGTACGTAGAGACCATGATGTTGGTGAAATATCTTCCGTCGACACAGTGTTTGGATTCAGGATGGTCATAGTCGCCCCGGTGTCCAGAAGACAACTTTGGAGACGCCCGTTCACCTTTCCATCTATGTAGAAACTGCTCGACTGACTTCCCAGTGAAGCAACTTTACCACTTTTCCTCGGGGCTTTCCAATCGCGGGCTGACGGTTGCCCCTTTCCATCAACCCTCCTTAGTTTTCCTGATTCGGTTCTGGTGTGGTCGAAGGACATTTACTCCGGGGATGTCCCATCTGTGCGCAGCTCCAACAGCGCATCTGCCGGCGACGAGTTTTTAGTGCCTCCAGCACTCTCTTTACTAGCTCCTCGATGTCCAGTGGAGTTGTAGGTTCTGCGTGTGCCACGCGGACTCGAGCCTGGCCCCTCACCGACTGTCGCACAGCCTCAAACTCCAGTGCCTGTGTCAGTGCGTCACTCAGGGTCTTTGGTCTGGCGAGCTTCACTGCCTGTTGAGTCTCAGGTTCACGTAGACCGTCTAGGAATTTATCCACCGCCAAACTCTCGTAGACATCATCCGTGACTGATGGATAGGCGTTTCTCACCAGGCGAGCAATGTCGGCTTCAAACTCCTGGAGTGACTCACTGGACTTCTGGATCCGGTTCCGCAGCTGTGATCGGTAGAGCTGGTCCATGTGTCGATGCCCAAAGCGCATGTCCAATCTCCTCACTAGTTCTGGGAAATTCTTCCGCTCCGCCATTGGCATAGCGTGCAGAACAGCTAATGCATCTCCCCGTAGTGCCAGGCACAGTGCTGAAGCCTTTGTCTCCTCGGTCCACCCATGGACCATAGCCGCTGTCTCGAAGAGAAGCATGTAGTCCTCCCAGGGAGTTTTGCCATCGAAGTGAGGGACGATGTTCTGAGGGGCAACGGCAGCAATGGTGGGCGCTGGCTTGGAAATCGTTTCTAGGGCGTTGTCCTGCTGAAGTTCGCCAGTGCTAGCCGATGACGCAGGTGTGAAGCTCCCCGATGCAGCAATTTCCTGCCTAAGCTTAACTAACCTATCTTCTAGATTTTTTTCTATGCAATTAAATTTCTCATCTATTTCATTCATCCTACTTTCTAAATCATCAACTTTGCTAGAATACTCATCTAACTTGTTTAGCATTTTTGATTCTACATTTGACATTTTTGTTTCAATATTAGCTTCAAGGTTTTCTAACGCTTTACTAGTTTCTGACATTTTTGACTCTAATGTTTTGCTATTTTCTAACATTTTTGACTCTAATGTTTTGCTATTTTCTAACATTTTTGACTCTAATGTTTTGCTGTTTTCTGACATTTTTGCCTCAATATTAGCTTCTAGGTTTTCTAAAGTTTTACTAGTTTCTGACATTTTTGACTCTAATGTTTTACTATTTTCTGACATTTTTGATTCTAAGTTCTTAAGCATTTTATTCATATCAGATGTTTCAAATAAAACGTTATCTAGGTCTTCACCCACATCAATTAAAGCTTGTTTAAGTCGTGCCTGAAGGGCTGATTTAGTTCCACTAGTATCTAGATCTCGTTCTTCTAATTCTCTCCTAAGATCAGCTACTTTTAACTCATCAAGTTTCACACCTTTGAAAGCCATTTTTATGCCAAACAATAAAAATAATTTTACAATGAATGATTTTTTCCTTTGTAAACAAATTTACGACACAAATTACTAATATTTAGCAAAGACCCTGAACCTTACTAATATCTAATACAACCAAAATAAAACTTAATATTTTACAATTAAAATCGCCAAAATAATGCCGCTTTCTGACACCAATTGTTGCGGGCTTAACGGGTTCTTTACAATAAAAACTTGGCGATTTTATAATAACTATTTTATTCACACTAATTATTCTATATTTACAGATATTACAATTACCTAACACCTAACTAACCCTATCTAAACCTAGCTAAAGCCTATTCTAATTTACAATGTTTCTACTTACAGCTAGCCTCTACAGGATTTATCACTTCTGTTACAACACTGTCACTACACTGTCACTAGAGTCACTACACTGTTACTCTCACTGTCACTACACTGTCACTGCCACTAGCACTAGCACTGGTCACTAACACCGACGGGCACTTGCTGCGACGATTCTCGGAAGGCTCAACTCAACTCAACTGCCGTGTGCCGGAAGACGGTCCCTATATAAGCTCGCCGTAGAACATTCTAGAGACCCATAGTAACGTAGACAAAGGTGTTTACAGATCGCCGAGGAAGCTTCTGGTAGAAGGTTCTGGAGCCCCTATTCACGTAGTCCGTTGACATATTTCTATTGTCTGTCACTGGCGCGTTCGTAGAATCCGTGAGACAAACAACCCTTTTGAGACGGCGCCTGGCTATTGTTGCGTGGGGTTCCTGACTTGTAACAATAATATTTTGCAATGTCTTTTTAAACCATTTTGTAGAGCTTATAAATACAAATACGGTAATTTTAATATATGGAAGTATTGTTGCACATCTAACAAGGAAATATAGTGCCACAAATTTAGACAGAACAACTGAGTTTAAAATGGCAGCCGTTAAAAGTTTCAAAATGGCAGCAGATTCAAGAAATCTTTAAACGGCTGCCATTTTTGCCCCGGTTGTCAGTTTGAGTTCGAATTTGCATAAAACCCTTTAATTTGATGTGCATATCAACAAAGCTTACTTTCGAAATTTTCTTCTGACTCCTAGATGGCCGTCCCCCTGATGAGGAGATGAGGTAAGGTAAATCGTGTGTTAAAATGACGTTAATGTCCAGTAACTGTGTATCAAGTTTTAAAGCTCTATCTTTATTACATTTTTAAATATTGGACCGTCCCAGGACTGTTTTCCCATTCTGTATATATGTGTCATGATGATGATCCATTATTTACCCCAAAAAATACCGTTTTAGCCAAGTAGGTTAGGTTGTATTGTAAGTATAGATATTTTTTCAAATTTGTCCTGAATCTGGGGTAATAATACCCCCCCCCCCCAGGAATATCGATTCCTGCAGTAAATTTTCTGAATACGCCAGTGGCACGCCATTGATAATAGACTAATTATTGAATATAGACGTGATGACAGTCAGTGTTATATAGTCAATGGTCAGAGTCAACCCAGGACCCAGCACATTGGTATGTTGCATTTGCCTGCCGGGCATCAGCAGGATAGGATGCCCGTAATCAGCTGTTACCCCTATTGTTTACTATTATGATATTGATATGACATAGGTTATGTTATAGGTTAAGTCAAACTACGAAATTCCTACTACTGTAATATTATTAGTCTTATTATTTCTTAATCTTAGTTTTTCCTAGTAGGCTATAAATAAGTGAGTCAAACTGTCAAACCAAACCATTTTGTGTACGGTAAGTTATAGGATGATTGGGGAATTTATCGGTAATTGAAAGCAACCCAGAATAATTAAGCGAACTAACTATCTAAATTACATGTGATGTCACTCAGAATAACTGATAACACGGAAGAAGTTATATAAACGATGCAATTTAAATTGTTTGTCAGTAGGATCTGTTCACACTCAGAGAAACTTGTACATCTCACCCAAATAAGGTATGTAATTCAGCTTCAGTAGGCCTAACAACTTACCGGTATAGAAAAATAATAAATATCCATTTTTGTTTAGTCCTACCATTGACTATAATAGGCCTATACCATAACATAAACCATAACCTGGACCAGGGGGTCCTTGGAGTAGGATAGGCCAAAATTGATATAGCCTACCATTGTAAAGGTAAACTACCATTTACATAAAATAGTCTAATTGTATCATTTTTGTCTCATCCATTAAAGGTTGTCATAAACTGAGTTCATAAAATTATTTTACAGAAATATGAGCAATACAATGAAGGCAGTAGTTATCCAAAGCACCGGGGACGTTTCCGTCTTGAAGGTTGAGAGCGTACCTGTTCCAGAGTTGACTTCAAACCAGGTGTGAATGCTTATAATATATATTTTGTAGTATATAATTGAAGTATATGCTTTTAAATAAAGGCATGTACTTCAGGTAGGATATCCTGATGTACGGTAGGCTAGTTAATTTACTTGGGCTTATTATATTCCTACTATTGCTGCTAACCATCTCCAAAAATGTTGTGCGAACATGTGTGCTTTCTGAACTTAACTCTGTCTCATGTAGTACCTATTAGGAATTAAGTTAGATTGTGCCTGAAAACGAGCTGTAGTACAAGTCGAATAATTTTAAAGGCACCATGCCATTACCAAAAATTGCAGAAAAATTCTTTTGAGTCTTTCATTTCATTTCATTTCAATCTCTTCATTCAATAATTGTACATTGTAGGCCTACATTGAATAGTGTGTCTAATTCCTAACCTAGTAAATACAGTTAGGCCTATAAGCTAAAATTACAATTTAATATAACTTACCTAATAACTTACAAAGAAAGGGTGCACTTTACTTGACGTCCTACACTCATTCGAATGAAAACATCGATCGATATATCGATTAATCGATTGCTTCATTCGATATATCGTTTGGTTAGTTAGGTAAGGTTAACCTAACCTAACTAACCAAACGATATATCGAATGAAGGAATCAAATGAAAATATTGAATCGAAAAAACCAATCGAATGAGTGTAGGACGTCAAGTAAAGTGCAGCCCAAAGAAACTACCAATAAAATCAGGTTAGGTTTATTTGACCTGCATCTGCGTTTGCACACGTGCGGAAGTGCGAGGCTGTATGAATGCGTGATGTGTGAGTGCATTGAGAGAGTATCTGAATATAAATATCTGGGTATAATCTTTGGCAACCGCCTAAAATGGAATTGCCATATTACTTATGTAAGAAATAAGCTGCGCAAAGTATCTTATATCTTTTCACGCATCAACAGGATACTTCCCCCCGACTTGATTAGAACTGTGTATTATGCCTATGTACAATCTCTATTGCAATATGGAATCTTAGCTTGGGGTGGTTGTTATCAAAATGTTTTATCGCCACTTGAAATAATTCAAAAATCTATTATCAAGATAGCACTAAAAAAAATCGCCGTTATCCCTCAAATATTTTGTTCAACGAATTCAAAGTTCTTAATATACCCCAACTCTTTATAAAAAATATAGGCCTAATTCTGTATATTCATAAAAATGAAACGTTCTTGTTCCAACATATTACACATTAATACCATACTAGATCAACAACTAATCATGGAATTATTACTCCTAGATTAACAAAATCAATAAACAGCACTTCGTCTTTTTATCTTGCAAACATAATTTATTCCCAACTTCCACTAATTATTAAATCCCCCCCTCCTTGCAGTCTACGTACATACAAAATAATTATTGACAAATGGTTACTAGAAGTTGGTCACAGAATAAGAAACTATTTCACCTCCATGTACATATAGATACTACTATCATTTCATCAACAGCTGCAGTATATCTATGCCGTTGCGTGCGTGAGTTTGGGGTGGGTGTGAGTGTGGTGTGCCATGGGTACCCCGCTAGGCTGGACCACAGGGACAGTGCAGTGACGGCTTTTTTAACAAGAGCTACCAGCCGCCTGTGGGTCCCGGGGCGGGTACTATGGAAGGTAGTGGCTGGGAATGTATGTTTGTGGTGAGTGTGGTTCTTTTGTGAGTTTGTGCAGGTATGAGTGGTCTGTGTGAATGTGTAGGGCTATGTGTGTGGAATGTATGTGCCAAGTCTCAGGCATTTAAAAATGTGTGTTATTTCTAACGGTAATCTATATATATATAAGGCATTTCCTATATTTTAACGTGCAAACTGAACGCGTGACATATGCGTGCATTCATTTTTCATTCATTTTTCATACACTGTATCGTTTTGTATATTTATCTCGTAAACTAGTTTTTTTATTATTTATCTTTTCTTGTAAACAAAATTCTGTGTACAATGTATATTATTTTCCCTTTTTAAAAGTAGCCTTAATTTATTGTTTTATTGTGCGGATGATGGACTCAATCCCCAACCACAGGCATTAGCCCATTTGGGGATTACATTTCAGTAATTGTTGTTTGCACCATTGTAACTGATGTACTGTAATGAAATAAAAAGGATTCATTCATTCATTCATTCACTGTACTGTAATGAGGAAACACCTCTTTCATGGAGTAAGGAGCGATTTCTATGAGATAATTTTTTAATTTGTTTTTAAATTTGATGTTGTCAATGGGTTTCAAATGATTTGGAAGAAACCGTAAAAGCCTTCTTCCGGCATAGGTGGGCTTTTTATTTTGAAAATAAAAGATGGTTGCAACTATTTTCTCTTAGGGCTTTTCCTCTTGTAGCATAATTGTGCGTTATCTGATATACTTTCTTTCGTAATGAGAGCAGTTTCAAAAATGTATATTGGGCAAAGACAGTTAGTATTTTAAAATTTTTGAAATGAATTTTAACACATTCATAATTTTTTAGTCCCATGCTCTTAATGCCCTTTGCTGTAATTTTAAGATTCAAGTAAGATTTTTCTTAGTTGTAGCTCCATATTAAGATATACCGTACAGTATGAAATGTGGCTATGGACAAGAGAATGATATATTGTTTTCAAAGTACTGATATTACATAGATAAGACATCTTTTTCAATGCAAATATCCCTGAATTTATCTTTGAGCAAACATGATCGACGTGGTCCTGCCAGGATAGATGTTTATCAACTTTTAAACCTAAAAAATCTATTTTTTCAACTTGTTTGATTTCATCAGAATCCAAAATAATCAACGGTTCTATTTTGTTTTTACATTGCTTAGTTGAAAATTATATAAAATTAGTTTTACTTTTGTTTATTTTGAGATTGTTGGATAGTAAGTAATTTTTAATATTTGCAAGTTCTATAAAGGTATCTATTTCGATGTGTTCTACTGTTTTTCCTGTAATTTTTAAGTTAATGTCATCAGCATATAAACACATATTTCCACAAGGTACACACGACAGTGCATTTGGAATCTTATCAATGTAGCAAAGGAATAAAACAGGGCCTAGTATTGAACCCTGAGGGACACCAAAGTGATTAAGTTTTATTTCTGATCTGTTTTTTACCAGCCAATTATTTTTATTAGACATGATTTCAACGTATTGCTTTCTATCCGATTCTTGACCGTACTTTAGCTGTTGATGAATAGTTTAGGCTTGAATTCAATGATAACAACTTTCTAGGCTCAAACGTTCTTGTAACTTAATATAAAACCAAATAAGATTCAGAGGGGTTCTGCAAAGCTGTAGAATTAAAGAAATATTTTATACTTAGCATTGCAAGCAAATTTGGCACATTAAGTAATGTTGGAGATTGGACTAGCTCACAATCTAAATGACACTCGAATTTCATCCCAGTATACCTAACAAATGCTGTTTCACTATATAGAAGGGTGCAGTACTAACCTCTCATAACATACGATTCTGTAAGCAATTAGGATATAGTTTTAAATTTATATTTATTCTTTAGGCCTATACATGTATGAGATTAAGCAGTAAAAAGTTACTATAATATTTGCAGGTTTTGGTCAAAATTCACGCAGCTGGGTTGAATCCTGTTGATACATACATTCGGGGGAAGAAGTTCGGGTATGACCCCAAATTACCAGCCATCCTGGGGGGAGAGGCTGCTGGGGAAATTGTGAAAGTTGGAAACCAAACTGGCAGTAAGTATAAGGTGAGAATATACGCTGAAAAAAGCTTACAGTTGTTATAGTCCATTCAAAAATTTTAGGCGGTTTAAAGCCGTATTTACAAGTGGCCAGTTAGCGGGGGAGATTACCTGCCTCAGGTAAATTGAAACTTGAAATACACTAGAACTAGAGGCAAGTAACCTGCCTGCTCTACCAGCCTCGTGTAAACCCGGTTTAGGGATAGGTTTCTTGGATTCCCTCACCACTTTTTTTTAGCTTTATGTATAAATCAGTTAGCTATTATTTCATAATAGGGGGAAATCGCGTCCCCTCAAACTGCCTAAATTTTGAACCAATAGATCAAGTTGGTTAAAGACCTAAAACTAAAACAATAGAACACTTGCGTCCATCTGTGTCTAGTCATGCGTTAAGAGACATGCGCTTGGCGTGGCACACACAAAAGCGCACAAGTGTGGACATAGCTAGTGGGAGAACTTGATGGAAGAGATCCCTTGATGAAAGAGTCCTAAAATAGTCTCAGGAGGAAGTTAATGGGACAGATGAATCCTCCACAAGTTTCACCTTTCGTCAATCTAGAATTGCTGACCATTACAAACTTTGTAAACAGTTCTAAACACAAAGTAAACTATAAGCTTTAAATGTATTGTTACAAGCCAGGAGCCCCGCGCAACAATAGCCAGGCGTCGTCTCAAAAGGATTGTTTGTTTACACGGGTTCTCCGAAAGACAATAGACCCATGTCAACGGACTACGTCAATAGGGGTTTTGACATCTACCAGAAGCTTCCACAGCGATCTGTAAACACCTTTGTCTAGCCTACGAGTAGTCTCTAGAATGTTCCACGGCAAGCTTATATAAGGGACCGTCTTCCGGCACACGGCAGTTGAGTTGAGTTAAGTCTTCCGAGAATCATCGAAGCGACGGCACGCCGGTGTGAGTGACCAGTGCTAGTGGCAGTGACAGTGTAGTGACAGTGAGAGTAACAGTGTAGTGACAGTATTGTAACAGAAGTGATAAATCCTGTAGAGGCTAGCTGTAAGTAGAAACATTGTAAATTAGAATAGGCTTTAGCTAGGTTTAGATAGGGTTAGTTAGGTGTTAGGTAATTGCAAATATTGTAAATATAGAATAATTAGTGTAAATAAATAGTTATTATAAAATCGCCAAGTTTTATTGTAAAGAACCCGTTAAGCCCGCAACAGTATTTTGAATAAACTAAATAAAAAGAACTGAAGAAATTAACAAACAATTTACTCCATTTCAGGTGGGTGACCGGGTGATTTGCTGTCTGCGAGCCCCTAACTATGGAGGGTACGCAGAGTTTGCTGCTTGCGGAGTCGGGGATTTGATACCTCTCCCAGACAAGTTAACGTACTCTCAAGGAGCAGCTGTTTATGTGCCTTATTTTACTGCCTACAAAGCCCTGATAGCAAGGTAAAATGTTAGTATAAATATACAGAGTGTTCAAAAAAGGTAGGGACATAACATTTATGTAGTGATTCCTTGGTACAAAAAGAGCAATAAAGTTTATAGAGTTTATAAGGGTGTAGCATAGAGCACCAGGGCCTAGATTTTTTAGGATTTTTTGAGAGGATAGCAGGCTTACCTGAATGGGAAAGAGTCCAAACTGGCACAGGAAACACAAAACATAACTTTACACTATATACACAAAACATTAGAATATTTCACTGTCACTGACAGCATTTTCAACTAAGGAAGAGAGAGTTTTTTAGATGTCCAAAATGGTGGCCAGTGAGTTGTTGAGTCAGTGTTGCAACCTCAGGGTTTTTAGGTTCGTGCTTGGAACTCTCTTTTATTACCAATTTCCTTGCTAATAGCCTATTTTAATTTGAAACTTTTTTTTATGATAATAAAGTTAGCCTTTGATTTCTTTTTTTTTACTAAATAATTTTATATCGAATTTGGATAAGATTGTTCTAAAACAACAGTCTTTACTTGAATCAAGAATATAAATTTTAACAGCTAGGAGGCTACTCGATCCACCTCAGAATTAGGCTAATGTTCTCAACTTGTCCAACACCTAAATAGAATTGTCTGTAATAATAAGATGGATATTACCAAGTTTCTTCCAAGTTTCCACATATCTTCTTGTTTAAACTATTTGAAATAATTAGACTATTGGTTTAGCTTTTCACTTTTTACTAGAAAATATTATAATATAAAAATCATACAAACTAGTTTTTACACTTTCATCAGGCTAGTTCATGGTAGAAGAAGAAAATCCAGTTGTTACCTAACACATGTTTTTCAGCAACAATGTATTCAGGTCTTCTAGATCTTGAAGTTCACTTTTAGTCACTCAGGCCAATTAATAGTATATGAAATTTAATTTGGGTAAATTACTTTTTGAGATTTGGTTTAGATATATATAATTATTTTTACTTTAGCTTGTGTTTGAAATAGATTTTAAACATAGTATATTTTAAATAGGCTTTTAGGCTTAATTGACTGGTAATAGCATAGACTAACCAACACAAGTAGACTTCTCATCCCATTGTAAATTTTGAAGCACGTTTTTTGTGTCTAGTTCATGTACGTGACACAATGGCGCTAGTGTCGATGAAACTTTGTTTCCATTATTTTGGGGTTAATTTCTTGATTTGTGCTTTACTGTTTGGATATATAACTAGGGGACAAGTTATTGTTTATGATTAGATCGTATTATTTGGTTAAACGAGGCTTTAAATGGCTGTAATAACGGGAAACAAATTGTAAACAAAACACGACCTCTACATAAACCGTACATGAACTAACAATAAAATTGTCTTCAGCTGTTCCATAAGGATGAGAAATCTACTAAGGGAGTATGTTTTATCTATGGTAATAGGCTATTTATATATTATTTAACTATACAAAATTTTATGAACTGTTGCAGTGTTGCCAATAGTAGAATTCAAAAAACACATTTTCAGTTTATCTTAAGACTAAACTTAAGTTTATCTTTAACTTTAAGATAAACTGAAAATGTGTTTTTTGAATTCTACTATTGGCAACACTGACTCAACAACTCACTGGCCACCATTTTGGACATCTAGAAAACTCTCTTCCTTAGTTGAAAATGCTGTCAGTGACAGTGAAATATTCTAATGTTTTGTGTATATAGTGTAAAGTTATGTTTTGTGTTTCCTGTGCCAGTTTGGACTCTTTCCCATTCAGGTAAGCCTGCTATCCTCTCAAAAATCCTAAAAAAAAAATTTATAGAGTTTATAGTTTAGTATACATCCTATCATGTTTCCTTAAGTGTCTGTGTCTGTATTTGTTTTTTACTAAATCATTCATAACACCTTGACGGTGTGAGCTTCAGCGTTGAGATTCTGAAAAAAATTCCATCTGTTTGATCATTTATGGAGAAAACATTGGGGATAGCAAGAAGGAAATTAAATTCTCAGTTATTCTTTGTCCATACAAGACTTGAAAGATATAATTGAAATCTCCATATAATTTATTAAAATTGATTTAGGTATCTTGCAACATTTAAAATAGCCGCCATTTTTGAAATGGTTAACAGTTTTAACCCTTCCCGGACGGGTAACGGATATATCTGCATAAGTCTTTGGTGATAAAGGACGGGTGACGGATATATCCGCATATGGTTTTTGATGCTCCGGACGGGAAGCGGTTATATCCGCCTTCTTTTCAGACAGACTGGCAGGTGCTTGAGCAGTAACCAGATGTTTTGCGGAACCAAGGCGCCACTATCCTGCTCTTTCCATGACTGCGCACTCCCCCCTCTCTACCGTGCTAACCCCTCTCCTGCGCCTCACCCCCTCCCGCGCACCTACCACAACTCCTACGCTCCCCTCCCCCCCCTCGACGTTTCGCGCTCAACATTACGTTGTCTCTATTTATTGTTTACATATTTTTCTTTATTTATTGCCTAATGTTGTCATGGTCATATCTTCAAAGACAGGTGGCGGATATATCCGCTGCATTTCTACTCATCCGCGGACAGATAGCGGATATATCCGCATAGTTAAAAACGATAAAAAAATTATTTTGACAGTATGATGTGTTCCACTGTGTTTCTTGTATGTATACTTGTATAACAAAACACAAATATGAAAAATTAATTTTTATTTTTTCCTCTAATTTTTTCCCGTCCTATGTCATGATTTCGCCCGTCCGGGAAGGGTTAATTCTACACAAAGATGAAATTTTTTTTGGAATCATAAACTATGTAGCTCAAATTGTTAAGGAGTTATAATGTGTTTATAAAAAAAAACACACATACAGACAGACAGACCCTAAATGAAACTAGGTAGGACAAATTTTTATGAAGACTATTTTTACTTATTTTGACCCAAGAAATTACTACGTAAATTATGTCCCCACCTTTTTTGAACGCCCTGTATAGGCCTAACGTGCATGTTTTCTTCCTATCTCAGAAAAGTCTTTAGTGTATAATCCAAACTGTTCTTGTCAAAGTCAGATAAGCGGAAAGGTTGGATAAAAAAAAAAACTATTAAATGTGATTTTGTAACCATGTTAAAAACTATCAAATTTAAAAGTTTCTGAGGAGAACCTATTCATGGTCTTTATTGGTTCGTCTTTTTTCAATTTTTAAGCTACCATCACAAACAACATAAACACTAAAAAAAATCAACAAACTAATCCAAAGATAGAATGATTTAAAACTCAGATTTTCAAACTTTTGGGTGAAAACATTTTAGTTATTAATTATCTCCGTATACTTGTCAATAATCTACCTCAAAACAAATGCACAGGTGCAAGCTGCAACCCCAGGAGTTAGTCATGGTGCATGGAGCAAGTGGTGCTGTCGGAGTAGCTGCTACACAGATCGCAAAGGCTCATGGTAATAATTCTTGAAATTCATCAAACAAAACTCTCCAATGTAAATTTAATATTCGGTTACCTAAGCCTATTTCTTATATTTCTCTGTTAATACTTTCAATGTTATGACATTTGATGTCTTCTATAATAGATTTATTGTAACTCGATATGTCCATAACTGAAATAAAAGCAAAAATAAGAAACATCTGTGTTCTCCTCTATACTAAATTAATGTAAAAAAAGAAGCCAAACAGGTGTTGTGTACAATCCCTAAACTCAAAAACGTCATTAACTTCCATACCACCCAAACCGGACACACATTATTTAAGGTGGGCCTTTCTCGCCAGCTAAACCACACATTATTTAGCTTAGTATGGATTGCACATGTAAGGTATTCGAACCGTACATGTAGCAAGACCTCACTAGTCAGTGTAACGCCTTAGACAACTGAGCTCCCATGCCACCATTGACCAAAAAGCGCACTAGCGCTCGTGAGATTCAACCAACTTACACCCCAAGCTACTCGGGCATAGATTTAACAGTTTTAACTTTAGTATGCTTATTATATTTTCCAAAGTTTTATAATTATCTAAGTCAATGTATTTGTCATTTAGGCGCAACAGTAGCTGGGTCAGCAGGTAGTGAAGAAGGGATGAAACTGTTGAAAGATCTGGGTGCCGACGTAGTAGTTAGTCACAGGTACGGCTTGGAAAATCTTCACGTCACTTTGTAGCCCTATTTAAGAGTAAAATTAGATTTAGTTAGTCCTAATCTTTAAATTTCACAGTGTGAGAGCATAGACAAAATTAGTGAAGGGTGGGTCATGTGAAATTTACTCATAGCAAGTGAGTTACGTTACTAGAGGCTACTTGATCACATTATTGCATTTCCCACTATGGTGTTTTGTGAGATTGTCAGTAAGTTGGGCCATAAAACTAATTATTTAAACCGTGTGTTATATAGTTAAGTTCTAAAACTAAGCGCAAGTAAATCTAACTTTAGCGTTGATTTATTTAAAGTATGTTTTTCTTAAACCTAATTTTTGTCTGCAAATGCCTTTTAGGAATTTTTCAGGGTCATGTACAGTACCTACTGTACCTTCAAGTTTGTGATAATATAAACTGTTCATAGAAATAGCCTGCGTTTTCAATTTGTCGGTTAAACACAAAGTATTGTTATGAATTCAGGGAAGATGGACACTTACAGAAAGTCCTGGCCACGACTGGGCGTCAAGGATTTGACGTCATTTTGGAGAACAGAGCAGACATAAACTTGGGCATTGATCTGGCTGCTTTGGGAGTCGGTGGTAGAATTGCAGTAAGTTTAAATGTGTTTAAGGTTAATAAACATTGTTTGATTGAATTAGTTATAAGCATTAAATTGACAAAAGTAACTAAGAAATTAGTAGTTGACTTATCTAATTCTTATTCAGATCAAAGATGTATAATTTAGCAGATGGCTGCTAGTGCTACTACTATAACCATTGACTATAACTTTGTATCTCCAGTTTGTCTGTTAGAAAATTTTGGATTTAAAACTGCTCATACCTCTATGATATAGAAAAATAAGGCTATCTATTTGATCCTGGATTTAGGTTCGATGTAAAATTACAGTCCTAAAATTTAACATTCTAAGTGATTTATATTGTTTAAGCTATTAATAAACTAAACACAAACTTGAGAACCTGGTAGACAGACATGTTAAGCAATTTAAAACTGGACTTAAAACCCCTGAATGTCCACTACCCTTGGTTTTAGGAATGATATGGTCCTAATTTACATTGATTGTTATGTCTAAACTATATTATGGAGTCATATCATCTCATTCTCGCTCATGTTCATTTCACAGGTAGTTGGATCTAGAGGTGAAGTACAAGTAGATCCTCGTAACCTGATCAGAACTGAAGGCTCTGTCGTTGGAGTTAATTTGGGGAAAACAACTCCGGTAAAAACAAAATAGGCCTTCCCAGTAAAGGTGGTAACCACCTTAACATATCTGTAATGTATGGAAGGTTATGAGGATCCATTTCTCCCTGTTCACTACATTTTTCATTGTGATTTATCATGTTCATTATTACCACTAAGTTATCTTGTGGCAATATTTTCAAAACCATAATCATTGGGATGAATTTACAACTTATAATTTGTGACTGTACAATAATATAATCACAAATAGTAGTGAACATTCTACAACTATTAATTACTTTTTTTACTTTACTCCTTTCACAAAATTTAGGCCTCCACCTCATCCTAACTATGATACTACAGCCGTCAGCTAATCAGCTGATTAAGCTAAAAATAGTGGTGGGGGAACACAGGAAACCTTCCCCTTGAAGAGCCTAAATATTGTGAAGGGACTTTAGGCGATATTTGTCTTCATACAAGATAAGATTTCAGCAATGTATTTTTCTCAGGTAGTTGGTTCTCGGGGACCAGTAGAAGTGGATCCTCGTAATTTTATTAGAGCTGAAGGTTCAGTGTTAGGGGTCAACTTTTGGAAAATTACAGAGGTAAGATTGTAATAAGTTGGGTAACTCATAACTTCTAAATTTCTTTTTTTGAGAGATGGCGGCCTCTTTTAAGCTTACATTTGCCCGCAAAAATAGGGCTTAGGCCTGTTCATGGAACGTATCCAGCAAAGCAAGGGCAGAGGTGGTATATCGTAGTACATCAGTTTAACTGTACTTATAAAATTTAGTGGCAGGTACTAAGATCCGAACCCACGATATTGCTGCGATGGATTTGAATTTAATTTTTGTCTGAGGCGCTACCGACTCTATCCAAATGTTAATAGTTTATTCTAGGTGGTCGTCTCCCACAATATTCTCATAACATTTAACTTTTTTTTGGAAACCAATTTTTTCTTCTTAAGAGCTGAACATTTAATATTAATATTTTGTGGTACTTGTTTTTATTGTAACTGTGTTGGCTAATTCAATTCATAAACAGAGTTATTTAATATGCTAGTGAACACTGGCTTCCCCGTTTGGCATTTACCTCAAAATATCTAAAGACCACACAAATCACCCTATAGGATTAAGATCAAAAAGTGTTTAGAAGAAAAAGTCATATCCTTACACATTCTTTTCCCAAGTAAGGCTGGGTTTTCCTAGGCACGGAAGCAGAGAACGAAGTCCGCTCTCTTTTAGCTTTAGGTAATTAATGGAAATTTTTTTCCTAAAAGCATGGTGGACAGCCCCTGGATGAGCAGAAAATCACATCTCCATGTGCTCTCCGTGTTCCACACCTAGGAAAAACCAGCTTTAAAAACTTTTAGCAGTACGATAATCAAATTTCTTCGTCTAACTCTTCCGTTAAAATGTTATTATTTCGCAGGAAGAGTTCATTCAATACTCATCAGCTTTAGTGGCTGGTATGGAGAAAGGATGGCTAAGCCCAGTTGTCGGCAAAGAATATGCAATGGAGGAAATACAACAAGCACACACTGACTTGATAAAATCGCATGGAGCATATGGGAAACTAGTACTTAAAATACGCTAACTTTCTTGAATGTAAGACTGAAATTTTCTAAGGGAATTTGTGTTAGGAAAGCTAATATGGTATTGAATGAGATTTTATCTACAAAGGAGTTTAGCTTACAGATGATTGATTTCCATAAGAGAGTTTATAATTCATGCAATAATTACGATAGGGACGAGAGAAAACAATGATAGTAGACTGACAATAGTTATTTGTGCAACTAGTGAGAAAAGTGAGCAATTGACTCACTCGAGAGAATTCCTTACGCACGAGCCGTAGGCGAGTGAGGAATGGTTTCTCGAGTGAGGCAATTGTACTTTGAACTCGAGTTGCACATTATACTTTTCCTACAGTTACCATAAAACAAATAAATTGGTGAATAAACATAACCTATTTTTACACAGAAGTGATCTTTTAATGTAACATTTAATGTGAAGTGACAAATACAACAGTACAACAGCTAACCAGCTGATTTACAGCCAGTGCTGCCAACGTACTTCGCGCGCATACGACGTTGCCTGCATGTTACGCATTATTTCGTGCCTTCACGTTGCAAATCTGGAGTGAGACAAAGTAATTAGAGTGAGACAATGTTAACATTGTCTCACTGATGAGCGAATTGGCCACTTTGCTTTCTCAAATCAGTGAGAGAACATGTACATTGTTCGGTAACTGTAGGAAAATTATTTTTTGTGTCTATATCATATTGTAAAAAATGTAAATACTCAATTTAACTTAGCATTTGAATATTAAGTATGGGCTACATTTTTGAGGCGAGTAAATTATTTACATAATATTAACTACAGCCAAGCAAGACTGAACATTCTTTCATACACAATAAAGTAATTTTTATATGTTAATAATATTCATAAGAAAGTTCTTTAACACATTCTTTGGATAGTGGTCATATTTTTTTTATAGGCCTACTGCCCATTCATGACTGAGTGCCATAGTGCGCAAAGAAGTTCTTTTGATAAATATATTTTAATCTTGAGCTCTCGTTCAATCAAAGCCGTACTTAAAATCTACTTGGCCCTGGCTCATTCCACAGAGGCCCCCCTGATCTGATTCTTCTGTGGCTTCTGGGGGTTTAAAAATACCCGTAGTATTGCTCTAACTCAAACTTTTGTATTCTACAATCTGATTGGTTAATATCCATAGGAGACTAAAAGTTTAATAAAAAAATTAATTTTTCGCAACAGTATTAAGCATCTGCTTTTAATTATAAAATGTTGACCTGTGGGCCACACTCCAAAATCGTGAATGTCCCCTGCGGTTGCGTGGACGTTCACAGGATAAACCTCTTCGGCCAGACAAACATCATCTTTGATATCAAATTAATCAGCCTTGACACCTTTAATATGCTATTATAGATAATAATCTACTTACGTATCATCTTTGTCTCCCCAAATCACAGTGAAACTTTAACCGTTTCCTGTGGTCACGTTAACATAATCATCATTCAACATATATTGCTGTTACAGAGACTTCATTGTCTACCGTGATTGAGGCGAAATTTCAATAGCACAATCTTTGCAGATGCTTATGGTGATCACTAATATAAAAGCTTGGCTTTTAAATTGAACCCCTTAAAGAATTTATTGGAGATATGAATTTTGATTAAGGGGTCATAATCCATGTCAGGCCCCAGCAACCGCCATGTCAGATGATAGAGGAATACGGTCCTAGTTACAATTAGATAGTAGCAGCATACTTGTTGGCCAATTTACTCTGAGCCTAGCAATCATCATCACCATTATTGAAGACTGTGATACTATTGACACTTTTTTGTAAACATTACTGTTGTTTGCTCTTACAGCTCTGTGTAAATAACAATTCATCTTGTTCTTAAGTTATTAAAGAATATTATATAGATTAAATACCGAAAACTTGCTGTAATACTATTAAATGTGAATAAAAATACTTAAAATAAATCTATTTTAATTACAGTAGTAATCTTATTCTAATTTTCTCTCACAATCCTAAAATCCTTCCAACTAAGTTTAACCAATTTACTATTTTATAACAATATTTTGAACACTGAAGTCGACATCACATTTTTATCAGCTAAAGCAATCTGTACGTGCCTCTCACAGATTAGATTCTATTGATTGAGTTGACATTATTGCCTAAAAATGTTTTTGCAAACTATCAACTTTCTAAGTTTACAATAACTTGCCGTTAAGTATTGGCACAAGATTCAAAGTGGGTGAACTGAGAAGGAATTACATTTGACAGAAACATATCTGTTGCCTGCCGTTCTGTCATCGACTAAGTTTCTCCATATTTTTTTATCTCTCCATATCAACTCATAATTTTTTGTACAAGCAAACAAAATTATGGTAGAATTTTTTATCAATCGGTATGAGCCAGTGAAAATGAGTACCGTACTGTAGATTCTAGGACGACCCACAGTATATAGGAAAATCAAAAGGATACATCTGTTTTTATAATTATCTAATTTATTTATTTACATTTTTAAATATTTTTAATCTACAGGTAACTATGAATGTCATGAAATTTTCAACACCAGCTTTCCATGGTGTCCGTGTTTCTTCATCAAGTCCTCGTGGGCTTGCTGGATATCTTCCATGAGGTATTCCCTGGCAATGACAGGTTTCACCCAACCCTCCTGCATGCCGGTGCTTATTGCTTCAATATATTTCTTCCATTGTTGCTGAAAAATTTAACAAAAATGGTTTCCAAATTGTGTTTTGGAGGTTCCAAGTATTAAAGTTAGTAAATGTTTTTCTTAGTATTGGAAAATGCTTGTTGATTAGTGATGGTCGAATCCAGGAATTTTGAATATCGAATCAGAATCCTATAGTTATTTGTGCAACTAGTGAGAAAAGTGAGCAATTGACTCACTCGAGAGAAATCCTTACTCACGAGCCGTAGGCGAGTGAGGAATGGTTTCTCGAGTGAGGCAATTGTACTTTGAACTCGAGTTGCACATTATACTTTTCCTACAGTTACCATAAAACAAAAAATGTTTTAAGAGTGGCACATAATATTCTTTCAAATTCACCTCTGACCCATAATTTGTTTTCCAAACCCCCAAGACTAATATACAAAAAAGCTCCTAACTTAAAAGACATTCTTTCAAAAACCAAACTACCTCCCACTTCCCAACCCTCAGCAAAACCTTCGGGCTGTAATCAATGCAACAAACCACGATGTGCCACTTGCAAATTAATCATCCCATCAAAAACTTTCACAAGCAGGCAAACAAAAAGATGTTATAACATAAATAGTAACATCACCTGTGAGTCTACTAATGTAATTTACCAAATTTCATGCAAAAATTGTCCTAAAGACTACATTGGCAAAACCACCAATGCTCTAAGAGTTCGTATGAATGGCCACAGATATGATGTAAACCATCCTGATAAACAAAAACCTGTGGCTATTCATGCGAGAGAGGATTCTCAAAATTTTGAACAATGTTATTCATTAAAAGGAATAAGAAAATTGGCAAAAGACGCACCAGACTTGAAATTAAGACAGCTTGAGCAAGCTCATCAATTAATACTTAAATCTAAAACACCTTCCGGTCTAAATTTGAGATAGTATATATATACATATATATATATATATATATAAAAAAAATTTTTTCTTTCTTTCTATCAAAACATTTTCTTTTTTACTTCTTCATAAATTATATGTATTTTGGATTTTTGCTAAAACCATATGATTCAGAGTGGTAAACACTTCTATTTGTTATTGTGTTTGTTCCTGAAGAAGGCTAATGCCGAAATATAGAAATTTCTATAAAAGTGTGTGATAAGTTTATTTTGAAAACATAAAACAAATAAATTGGTGAAGAAACATAACCTATTTTTACACAGAAGTGAACTTTAAATACAACATTTAATGTGAAGTGACAAATACAACAGTACAACAGCTGACCAGCTGATTTACAGCCAGTGCTGCCAACGTATTTCGCGCGCATACGACGTTGCCTGCATGTTACGCGCTCACTATTTCGTGCCTTCACGTTGCAAATCTGGAGTGAGACAAAGTAATTAGAGTGAGACAATGTTAACATTGTCTCACTGATGAGCGAATTGGCCACTTTGCTTTCTCAAATCAGTGAGAGAACATGTACATTGTTAGGTAACTGTAGGAAAAAAAAATTGAATCTCGAATCTTCAAATCTCGAGTATTAAAAATGAACCATATAATATTTATAACCACCACTAAGACAATAAACTCTATGGTTAGTCAATGTCACAGTATATGACTTTTGTGTAATTATTTTTGATCATCGAATCTTGAATCAGAATCTTTTCTTAGGATTCGATGGATTTGAGATTCGGATTCTACAAATCCTTATAGTTGATTCAGTTGGAGCCAGGGTTGCCACCCGTCCCAATTTTGGTTCTTTATGCCTGTATTTAAGCATATGTTAATCCGGAGGGGGAGGGGGACCATGTCCCGATTATTCCTAAACTGAGGTGGCAGCCTTGGTTGGAGCTGTCATATTGATTTTTTTTAAATTCAAGTAAGTTACAAAAGTGGCCTAATCTACAGCTGATATATTTGTAAACATAAATGTAGTAAATTGATAAACTTGTATGACACGTGCACAGCTTATTATCTGGCAAACGTAGCAATACTGACAATGTTAGCTCTGAAACAACTGTAGTATTAGCAATTGGACTGTATACAGTATTAGATTAATACTATACCATATTTCCTACTATAATCACATATAACTTGAACCGAATACCACCACCAAATACCACACCTAATACCAGATGATCTGGTTAGGGTACACTGGAAAATAAGTGTTTTACACACAACTAATGTTATTTGTGAATAAAACTACTAAAACTAGTTTATAAGCTTACCTTAGATATGTTGGCCACATTCACGCCGGTGACGTAACCTTCAGTTTTAATCAACAGTCTAGGATCTACAGTCACACTCTCTTTAGCTCCAACCACCTAAACATTAATCAGCTGACAAAAAAACATACAAACACAGTTTGTGAAGAGATTTTGATTTAAAGCACAGAACTCGCACTGAGCCAACTTTGCCTCGCTGGTGAGCTAGGCCAGATTGGGGGGGGGGATAATAGAACTGACATCACTTTATGCATGCTTTTGAAATAATAACAGTAAACGCAGCGCTACAAGAATTTGGTGTAGACACTAGCAAATTCAAACGCAACTTTTTATTGGCTGATTGGCTCATGAGACTCCTGGTTAGTGT